AGCTAGATGGCCACTTCTTTATCTTCAAACCTTTAAGACTCCAGACACGCTATCTTTTGATAGCCGGACACCACCAGCTTTCGTCACCACATTTGCTCATGCACCCATTTTGTCTTCAGCGATCATGTCAGGAGGGTGAGGATCACAGAATGCCGGGTTGTTAGAACAAAGTATTCTTGCGTTGAGGGAGTACTTGAGTTGAGGCCCAATGTCTGTCTGCTACCTTAATACTTAACATATAAATATAAGTACATAGATCTATTTCCCTATCATTATATAAAAATATATTTACATATGTACATGCTTGTAAATAGACCTCTATAAAAGTCTTTTGCCTCCCAGTTCTTTCCTCTATTTCCTTTTACTTTCTTTCTTGTCCCACTATCATGTTCAGCCTTCATTTGAGTTTCAGTGATTCCTCTCTGTTACATTACCCTTAATCAAGCCCTACCAGGCCTCCTACACCCTCCTCGCCATCAATTTTAGATCACTTGTTTCCTCGTCTGTCCCTGGGTTTGTTAACATACACTTCCTTTGCTCCCCCGTCCCCGGAATCCTCAGTCCCCATTGTTTTCTCCTCCTGGTTGTTTATCCCGCCTATCTTATCTAGATAGACCTCCAGTTTGTTTTGTTTTGGAGAAAAAATAAAATCAAGATTTCAGGCATGACTGCTGCTACATCTACTGCCGTTAAGTTGATTGCAATGCATGCGACCTGTTGAGCAGCAAGTAGAACCTCTCCCTAGGGTTTTTGAGGCAGTAAATCTGTGTAGGAACTGGAAACTTCCTTCTCCCTCGGAGCAGCTAGTAGGTTTGAACTTGCTGACCTTTCAGTTTGCAGCCCAAACAGTAACGTGATACCACCAGGGCTCTCTTTGTCGCAGGATACCCTCTTTTCTTTTTATTTTATTTATTTTTTAATACCCTCTTTTCTACAACAGGGTCAGTGTCTTCATCTGCCAGTCGGTATAAAGACTGTCATGGAAGCTTCGCACCTGAGATTCAAAGAGGGTCGGCCTCTTGCCTGAGCAGTCCAGAGTCCACTCCAACCTCATTGGATAAAATCACAACCGTCCGGGAGAGAGCAAGGAGCCTGGACTCCCTCCTCACTTCCTCTGACCTGGTAAGCACTGTCCTGGGGGTCAGCCCGGAATGTCTCCGCCGCAGGAGGCCTGCCAAGGGAAAAGCAGACACCTCTCCAGGCTTCTCCAGGGCGTCTCTCTGCGTCTGGGCTATGGGAGGGATCCAGTGTTTTTGTGCTGTTCCTGCCCTCCCTCCTCAAGATAACTTTGGACAATTCCTCTAGAAAGCCCTCGTTTTTTATATGACCTTCATCTACATTGTTCTCTCCCCCCAACCGTTATCGCCTCACCTAAGGAGGCGCAAGCTCTGCCTCTTCCTTGAAACACACCTTGGTTCTTTCCCTGGGAGAACCTTCTAAAGTCATAACAACCCCGCCCCACTCCAGTGCAGTGCTGGTACGTTGATTCAGATTCACAGTGACCCTGCCTAGGGCTTCCAAGACTATACATCTTTATGGGAGCAGTTAGCCTCATCTTTCTCCCACCGAGCATCTGGTGAGTGTGAACTGTCAACCTTCCACTTAGCAAGCCAGGGCTTATCCAATAGCACCACCTAGGTTTCTTACCTAAAGAACATTAGCTGTTTAAAACCCCCTACTTGTATATACCGCCATTCCCTCTGCTCCTATATTATCTCCCCTTCCCACCCAGATCAGAATTCATGTGGATTGCCTCTTCCAAAGAGCTGCAAGCTCATCACTTGGACCGGCTCATTGAAAACTTACTGAGAATTCCAGCACGATGGCGACCTAGGCAGGCAGGCTACCCAGACCCTCTGCCACAAAGACGAGAGAGACCAGAGAGACCAATGCGCCCCGAGCTTCACAGGAAAGGCTAGAGATAGATAGGGATCAAATACCAATCAAGGGACAAACTGAACCGTGAGTTATCAGCTGACCTGATACATCACAGCCATTTGTAAGCAGCACTCTGATGGACACAGCAGCCAGATCATCAGCTCTGCTCGCCCAGGGGCACACATATACTCACTTAGGTGGCTGGCACCGAGAAAGGTGTGATCTTCCTCTTGTTCTCTACACCCTTCAGTGATCAGTGTGGCCAGCCCCCACTTTTGCCCACCTGGAAGCAGGTGACATCCACTCCTGGACGCTCCTGTTGAGGATATGGTGCTGGGCGGACACTCTGCATTCCTCCCCGCGCCCAGTGGTTGTGGGCATGCGCTGTACACCCAGGGTAAACAGAATGGGCATTGAGAGACAGGTGCTGTTCCCCCACTCCCTGGGCCTGCAAGAGCCGACTGTTCTGGCACCAGACACACTCCTCCCAGCCATCTTCTAGGCTGACAAGAAATCCACCCGAGACTCAGCACCTTGCCTGCCCCTTCCCCCCACACCCTGTCACCTTTCCCCTGGTCATCTCAGCCAGCAGAGTGCACCAACCTGTCCTGGATGCCCCTCCCCTTGTTTTATCCTTTTTCCACCTTCACTTCCTTTAAAGGGACATAGTCATGAGTTGGGCTCCTACCTATAAGGTCAGCTGTTCAAAACCACTGGCCACTCCATGGGAGAAAGACGAGGCTTTCTGCCCCTGAAAGGATGTACAGCCTTGGAGACCCCAAGGGGCAGTTCTGCTCTGTCCTCCAGGGTCATGCGCCGGAGCCCCCTCGGCAGCACCGAGCTTTCTTTTCTCTTCACTTGTTTTTCTTTTTCTGATTTTCCTCCCTCCCTCCCTTCCTTTCTCTTTTCTTTATTCCCTGTCCTTTTTCTTTACTATTTCTCATCGTTTTCTTCGTTTCCTAGCTTTGCAGATTCTCTTTCTTCCCTTGTTTTAAAATTTCACACTTATTTCTCTTGCTGCTTGTGTATTTTTTCCTATGTTATTATTTTCTTTTTTGTTGCTATTGCTTGTTTTCCTTTTTGGTGCATCCGGTGGGAGACCGCAGCTAGACTCATACGTCCAGGTCAACCTGACCCCGACAGCCCACACGCTGGAATAGGCTCACTGCCCACCCATGCAGCACCTGATCAGTGACAGACAGTGGCCAACACCAGCCCAGCTCACCCTCACCTGTCCACATGAACAGCCCACAGGGAAGTATGAGTACATTTCCATCCTCTATCACACCCCCCAGGTGCTAAACTAGTGAGCAGACGAGTATGCCTGCTCCACTCTCTTGGCTATCTCAAAAAAAAAAATAAAGCAAAAACCTTGGGCAAAATACACCCACAGAGATTCACTAATTAAATGCAAGTACAGCATATGATATCTTGGAGACAGCAACCTCAGATCACATAAGGAAGCAAAATAGAGTGGCTCAAACCCGTGACCAGAAAACAGAGCCAGAAGATCTCTTGAGCAATAAATGGCATTGGAACTACCTGATAAAGAATTCAAGAGAATGACATTTAGGTAATTTCAATAACTTGAAAGATTGAGAAAACTGGCGGGGTGGTGGGGTGGAGTGGGGATCAAGGAAAACACAGACCACACCTTAAAGAGTTCAGGAAAACATCACCAGAAAGAACCACAGAATAAATGAAAAATTAGGAACAATATAAAAAAAAAACAACAGAAAATAGAAATCCAGAAGATAAATGCTAAGATTTTAGAGACAGCTAATGCATCGAATGGGTAAACAAGTAGAAATGAATCATTGGAAGACAGAATTAGCCCGGCCGAGAGCTGCCTCTCAATACCATTCTGTTAGAGCAGCAGTTCTCAACCTGGGGGTCCAGCAACCCTTTCACAGGGGTCGCCCGATGCACAACAGTTATGAAGTAACAACGAAAATAATTTCATGGCTGGGGGTCACCACAACATGAGGAACTGCATTAAAGGGTCACAGCATTAGGAAGGTTGAGAACCACTGTTAAGAGGAATAATCAGAAAGAAAAGAACAAAAATAAAATGTAAAAACCTAGGAACTATGTGGGACACCATCAAGAGGAATACTTTACATGTGGTTAAGATTCAAGAATCGAAAGAGGCAAAAGAAAGGACAAATCCTCGAAGATGTGTCGTAAGAAAACTAGTGCCATGGGAGATAAAAAGACAGGCCTTACAGAAGCTGAGTGAGCCACAAATAGGATAAACCCCAGAAGAAAATCTCCAAGACGAATCATAAGCAAACTCCAAAAGCAAAGGCCAGGAAAGATTCAGCAAAAGCAAAACGTTGCCCACAGAGGAGACCCAATAAGACCAAACTGATTTCCCGACAGAAGCCACACGGGTCAGACAATATGATATATAAAATGTTGAAGGAAAGACAATTGCCAACCAAGAAATGAAATACACTGGAGAAATGAAAGCATTTCCAGAGAGACAGAAATTAAGAGCATTTTTGAAAACCAGACCAACCTACGAGGAATTACCAAAGGGAGTTGTCAGGACCCAATAACAAGCAGATTGAAGAGCGTGAGACTGAGACAAAAGACAGCATCACCCAGAAGCCACAGCACCTGTAGAAGTGTCCACAGTGACAGAAAACTTTAAGACTAAAAATAGGGAACTAGAGATACCGAATTTGTGTGGGAAGACATCCACAGACCAAAAAAGGGGAATAAATTGGATGGTTACGAACTTCCAAATAGAGATCAAGTCAGGATGATCTCAAGATAGAACAGACCATTTTAAACTGTGGTAGAAAATATAAATTATATGGTAGCTGAAAATAAAATTTTGAAGTCTCCTTTCCAAAATAAGAAAGGAAAAGCATGAAAATTTAGTAAATGCTGAAACAACGGCAGTGAAGGAAATGTTAAGAAACTCACCCCCACCTCCCCCAAGAACTCAGCGTAGGAAACTGGAACAGAGAAAGTGCCGCGGACTGCCAAGAGAACAAACAGATCCGTCTTGGAGGAAGTACAGCCAGAACGCTCAGCGACATAGAAAATACCAAGCTTGCTTGTTCGACCCCCGAGACCATGGCCCCAGTCACCCTTCTGACCGGGACTTGACTCACTCCCGTGGCTCAGTTTCAGCCAAACACTGAGCAGATCTAGAATGGGAACATTGACACTGGAGGAGGTATGTGCTCCTTAGAATAGGCAACCATTCGAGATCAAAGGGGCAGCATTTGCCCAAGGACAAAGTTCAGAAAGCAAGAAGGGTTAGGAAAGGAGGAGAAATCGGAACAGAAGCCACAACAAGGTCAAGGAGAGCGATGTTCTTTTGGGGGATAGAAGTCAGTGACACGAGACAGAATGCGCTGTATGGAAGATGGATTCGCTCTGTAAACCTTCACCTGATTCACAATAAAAAGCTTTTTTAAACAAAAAACTGTGACTATTCAATAGACAAGTTGGTTACTTACTTTCGCCCTCAATGAAAATAAGTAACGGATAACTTCCTTGGGCATTTGGCTCACAGAATAGGGAAGTGAGAAGCAATGTTAAGCTTTTATTCAGCAGACTGTTAATTGGGCAGGCTCTAAGTGCCAGGCCCTGTTCTCAGTGTGGAGTGTGAATTAAAAAGACGGGTCTCTGTCGGTAAGGCGGTCACATCACCGCTGAGTGAGAAAGGTCTGACCCAGCAGAGGGGGAAGTGCTGAGGGGCACAGGGGTGTGAGAGGACTTGCTGGAACAAAGGTGTGACTTCTTCTGCAACATAAATGCTTTCTTCCGTAGGTAATACTTAATCTCGGACAGAATTGAGCTGGATGTGCCTTTATGGATCAATACCGCTAGTCCCATGTTTCTGTCTTACTTGTAGAAAAAGTGGTCTACCTTTCCGAGCCCCGGTTCCCACAGAATCACTCAGGCATCTAGCACATCGCCTGCCACCAGCCAGAGGAGGAGCCTGCCTAAAGGTACCCCTGCTTGCTATCAAACTAGAACTTCGTCAGAGGAAGCTAAGGGAAGGGAGCCCGGGTCTCTGATGCAGCTGAAAACACACTCATTGTGACAACACTGGACAATGAGTAAGAGCTTGACAAAGGAAATACCTTTTAACCCTCCCCCCAATTTTAAACCTCCCACACTCCGTGAGAGGTTTTCTTTTACTAGTTCAAGATGTGTTTTTTGCTAACATAGTTGAAATCGTAATGTATATTTATTTTAGCCTGCTTTTGTCCCTTGATTTTACATTTTGAGAATTTTCCCTGGCAATAAAAATTATTCGTAACTATATGTAATGGCAACGCAATAGTCCATTCTACATACCGTTCCTCTATTTTGAAGATTAATGTTTTCTGATGTGGGCTCTTTGTACATAAATCTTTTTCTGCGTTTCTGATACTTCCCTTAGGAGAGATACCGCGAAGATAATTTTCAAGTCACAGGGAACGAGAGTATTAACAGCTCTTGAGGCATATTGCCATTACTACATTGATTTTAATATCTTCTGTCTTTAGTACAACTCTGGGAATGTCCCTCAATAGCAAGGGATTTTGTGGCAAATACTGAAGGGTTTTGGTTAATGTTCTGTGCACTGGAAGGATCTCTCTTCTGTACCACCCCAGTCTGATCATCCGTGGAGTAAGGCCCACTAGTTTGGATTTTGTTCAGTTTGGCTGGTCCATGGCCTCTGTGTCCCGCAGCAGGCCTGGTCTAGATTGAGCTCTGACCCTCTTAATCAGAATTTGTACCTCACCTGTCTCAAATGCCCTTTGGGAGGGAGGGGCATAGGACTGGACTGAGGGGTGATTCAGGAAAGAGTCTGGGAAAGGGTGAGTGAAGACCATCTCTACGTTAGAGATCTCTGTTACATGAAAGCCGTCCTCCCGCAGTTTACGTCATCATTGAGAAACCATAGTCAAATCCTTGTGGGAGTCTGGAAAGCCCAGTTCAGGTCCCGGAGATGTTACTTGCTTTTCCTCTTTACCTTCTTCCAGAACTGGTAGAAGCTATCTCGCAGCATCACATCGAGGAGTTACCACCGCCATCGCAGGAGCTACTTGAGGAAATTGGTAAGGGACAGAGTGCTCTGTCGCTCCTGATAGCTAGAGCCCAGGTAAGCGATGGTGCATGGTCAGAGAGGAGTTCAGAAGTGTCCCTAGACCAGAGCTGAGTGCTTGCCGACCAGCCCCGCTGGTCAGAGGATGTATCTCATGAGATATTGCTGACGGCCCAATTCTTGTGATTGGGCTTGTAGAGAATTTCCAAGAAACCCTGGTGGCACAGGGGTTAAGTGCTTGGCTGCTGAGCCAAAGGCCGGTGGTTCCACCCACCAGCGGCTCGGCAGGAAGCAGCAGCAGCGCTGAGCTTCCCTCAGCTGTCAGCCAGGGAGAGCGCTGCTCTGTCCTCAGAGTCACCAAGAGCGGGAGATGTGACAGCACACAGTAGAGAGTTTTCTGAGCGGCACCACTGAGCTTTTCTATCTGTGGGGTTTTGGTCTCAGGAAAAAGAGGGAGGTGAACAAGAGGACTAATCCCTAGGCACCTCACCACAGCCCCCAGCCTCAGACAGATAAACTCCGTGCAGATAGTCTGAGTGGCCAGAATCTCCCTGGGTTTCTTTCTTTCTCTGTAGAGTGAAGTAAGGGTTAATTGCTGGATCATGAACCCCCCTCCCCCCAGAAGCGACCTGTCTGCACAGGAACCAGCAGGACAGCTGGAATCCACTGGGCAACAGCTAACAATAGGCCCTTTTCCCCCTCACCTCAGGTCACCTCACCGTGGCCCAGGGCCACAGGGCTGCAGGTCACTGGGTTGATGGGTCAGGGTCCTAGTCCCTCCCTTCTCTTCCCCTCCTAGCTGTCCTGGTTCATCTAGGTTGCAAACGACTCCTCCCGTTGCCTTTTAAAAAGTGAACTCGTAGAACTGGTGTTTGTGAGAGTGGGGGTCCCTCACACGTGTTTGCTCAGGTCAGGTGGTGGCTCTTTCTCGGTCATGGCTTCAAGTACAATCCCCTGCCACCCTTGCCCTCTGGATCCCGCTGTCCTCCCCTCCACGCCCCCTCGCACCATTTCAGCCGTGGACTTTCCAGACTCCAGCCTGAACCGTGGCCTCCCTACACTGCTGCATCCCCTGCCACCCTTGCCCTCTGGATCCCGCTGTCCTCCCCTCCACGCCCCCTCGCACCATTTCAGCCGTGGACTTTCCAGACTCCAGCCTGGACCGTGGCCTCCCTACACTGCTGCATCCCAGCACACCCTCGCTCAGTCCTGGGCCAGGTTTTTGTAGATGTCTGTACTTTAAGATGGGTCAGTAATTTTCCAGAAAGATGAGGGCAGAGGACACTTGAGCAGTTTCTCTGGATTGTGTCCCTCCCACCAGCTGCTACATAGCATCCATCCATTACCTGCTGTTTGCCCTCAGGAGGCCACTGAGGAGGGGCCTGGGCATTCACCACTCTGTTGGAGGGCCCTCGCTTACCACCAGCTCTAAGCACCTGATAGCAGCCTGTAGGGGGGAACCCTGCATACAGAGGGTGATAGAGAGGGACAATTTTTAACACAGGCTTTCATGAAGTTACGGAGCTGCTGGTAGAGGCTGCTGCCTGTTCTTGAGGAAGGGAGCAACCTGCACCTGCTTTGCACAGGGCTTGGGCTGGCCAGGCCGCGCTCCCTCCGTCTGTCTCTCTGCTGTTTCCGGCGCACCTGGAGGAGCCGGAAGGTCTCACGTACAAAGCTGGCTGGCAAAGCAGGTTCTGGTCTTGGTTCAGTGATCCTTTCTTCAGCCACCGAGACTCTGCCGTCGCGCAGTGAGTCTGTAGGACAGACTAGACCTGCTCCCCAGGGTTTCCAAGGCTGTGCATCTTTATAGGAGAAGACATTTCTTTAGGGAATAAAAAAGTATACACTCTGCCTTCTGCCTTTCCATATCAAACGTTCCTATTGAGTTTGTTCCGATTAGTAGACTAGGGAGAAAACATGAAACACATCCGTAGGAGCCCTGGTGGCGTAGTGGTTATGAGTCGGGCTGTTAACTGCACGGTCAGCAGTTTGAACCCACCAGCCCCTCTGAGGGAGGAAGAGGAGTCTTTCTACTGCCGTACCAAGCTTCAGTCTTGGAAGCACACCAGGGCAGCCCTGCTCTGTTCTGTAGGGCCGCTTGGGATCAGAATGAACTCCGTGGCAGTAGAGGGGGGTAAACTTGGGCGGCTTCGATGTGACTGCTATCTCGAGAGAGTCTAGGATAAAGTTTCGGAGCCTAAGCCTGCGATCTGAGCTCTAGACACATTGCTGTGCAGTCATTTCTGACCCATCGTGGCTCTTTAGGGAAGAGTGGGGCAGTCCCAGGAGGACTCCCAGCGGAGAACTCGCCCTTAGGTTTTCCAAAGCTACGAATCTCTTGACTGGCGACTGGTGGCTTGGAGCCACCAGCCTGTGTTTTTTTTTTAATCATTTTATTAAGGGCTCATACAACTCTTATCACAATCCATACACACATCAATTGTATACAGCGCATTTATACATTCATTGCCCTCATCATTCTCAAAACATTTCCTCTCCACTTAAACCCCCGGCATTAGGTCCTCATTTTTCCCCTCCCTCCCCGCTACCCCCACCCTCATGAGCCCTTGATAGTTTATAAATTGGTATTTTGTCATATCTTGCCCTGTCCGACGTCTCCCTTCACCCACTTTTCGGTTGTCTGTCCCCCAGGGAGGAGGTCACACACAGTTCCTTGTAATCGGTTCCCTCTTTCCTACCCATTCTCCCTTTACCCTCCCTGTTTCGCCACTCACACCACTGGTCCTGTAGGACTCATCCACCCTGGATTCCCTGTATTTTCAGTTCCTATCTGAACCAGTGTACATCCTCTGGTCTAGCCAGTCTTGCAAGATAGAATTCGAGTCATGGTAGTGGGAGCAGGGAAGGAACATTTAGGAACTAGAGGAAAATTGTATTTCTCATCGTTGTTACATCGTGCCCTGACTGGCTCATCTCCTCCCCGAGACCCCTCTGCAAGGGGATCTCCAGTGGCCTGTGTTTTGGGTTGGCAACCAAGTGCTTTAGTCCCTGTGCCTCCCGGGCTCCTGGGTGCTTCACACCCGGACGCCAACTCTGACTCTGCCGCTCACGATCTCCGAGGTGTGAGGCCAGTTCCACCTTGATTCACCTGCTGAAGAGGAGGAGCCCGAATGGGGGCATGCTCACAGGGGTGCTGTGCAGCTCATGGGGGAGTGGGTGTAGGGCGTCAGCCACTCAGGGCTCTGGACGGTCACTATCCTCAGCAGCAGGGGCAGCGTTTCTGTTTTCAGTGTTAGGGGACTTTGCCATGCTGGAAGAGCCCTGGAACACCCTGCATGTCCTAGAGCAGGGGTCAGCAAACTTCTGAGACAGAGGAGCCCATCCTGTCCTTCACAACATTTAGAAATCATGAGAGCCATACATACATTTTCCCAGACAAATGACATCACTACTGTATGACAACACCCTTTAACCTTTTCCAGTGTTACTGCAGAGCCACGTGCAAATACAGAGAGAGCCACACGGGGCGCTAGGGCGGCTGCCGGCCGACCCCGGCCTTAGAGCACTGGTTCTCCAGTCTAACACCAATGAAGACTCCCGGCGACCCTGTAGGACAGAGTAGAACTGCCCTGTGGGTCTCTGAGATGATCCCTCTTACGGCAGCAGAAAGCCTCCTCCTCCCACGGCGGTTGGGGTCCGACCGCTGACTTGGCAGTTGGAAGTCTACTTCATAACCACTAGGCCACCAGGGCTCCTCGAATCAGATGGTTGGGCCTCACCCCCAGGATTTCTGACTCAAGAGGTGCAGCGGGTGGGGTGGAGAATTTGCGTTTCTAACAAGTTCCCGGGTTACACGGATGCTGCTGTCCTTGAGAAACTGGCGTGTGACATGTAATCCAAACCGCTTGCCGCTGACCGAGTTCCGACCCAGGGAGACAGCTCCACGAGTGACAGAGTCGGCTGCCCCCACCCCCATCCCAGAGTTTGGGGGATCTAATCAGAAGCAGATCTCCAGGCCTCCCCACCCCTGCCCTGAGTCGCCACTGGGCAAGTTCAAATTGCCCACCTTTAGGTTGGTAGCGCCAGCTGTTCATGCCGCCCAGGCACCTGGGGAAGCACACAGCTGGTTTGTTTGGTTGTGACAGAGCACCTGAAGCAGCAGCAGCCCGCAGCCACCATGCCAGCAGAGGACACAGCCACAGCGAGGGGCCCTGGCCGCTCTGCAAATGGTAGGCCAACCACGCCCATCTCCCTCCCCACAAAGGGTGCCTGCCCGCAGGATTAAGTAAAATGACATAAGCAAAGTGCCTGGCACGCATTTTAGGTGCATCCCTTCCCCACCGAGCTTCCTTTCAGGGGCTCCAACCATGGACACATCTTATAGACGAGAACAGGTGCCTCTCCACCCCTCCCCCAAAGCACATCGGTGCCTTTGTTTTTCCGGGAGCCTGCCTGCTGTGTTAGGTACCCTTTCTTTCCCTCGGCTTCCTTTGCTCCCGCTTTCTCGCTCGACCCTTGGCACAGGCAGAGCTTCCTGTTGCTTCACCTGGCACCAGAGAGCACCCCAGACCCCAGAAGCAGCTGCTGTGAACACAGGCACTCCACACACTGCCACCTGCCCCTGCTCTCGTGGGAGGAGAACCAGAGGATGGCATATTGCAGGGGCTGCTGCCCGGCCCTCATTTTTGGCACTCCATTTCAAGGCAAGGCTTTCTAAAGAGTCTTCTGTTCTTCTGATAAAGTTAATTCCTCCCCCTGCTTTTAGATCAAAGGCACTTAGCAGAACAGGAGCCTGACAGTAAGAGAGGAGACGGCAGTAAACTGTGGAGCAAACAAACAGAGGATCCAGAAGACACAGACAGGTAACAGAAGACGGACGTTTGAAAGGAATCTAAAATGTGTATTAGGTTTTTTTTCCTAGGATTGTATGCAGTGAGGAAAAGAGAAATCCAACAACTTCCAAGTATTTTTCTTACTAGTCTAATCGCCCGTATTCCTAAAAGCTGTTATTTTGTTACTTCATCTTTGGAGGCAAACATAGGTTTCACCACTTTGAGAACATTTTAGTTAGAGCCCTTGGAGGCCAATAATGAGCTCTTTCTTAGCCAAGTAAGAGAAATGCACGATCATCCAGACAATTCAGTCTTAAGCTGCCTCTGGAGCCCAGCCTGCCCTGGTTTGGGGCTCCCTCCCTGCTGGCCTGTGCGGTGAGAGAAACCGCTTCACCCCGCCCTCTGCCTCTTGGCTTCTGCAGTGTCCCAGGCTGCTGCTCGTGGCCAGGACTAGGATGAGGTGAGACACAGGATTCAAGGGAATGCCCAATGACTCAGGATAGATAAGTGTGCAGAAATATTTTATTGATTTCACAGAAAAATCACAGCAAATTAGGTTCTCATTTCATTGGTTCTATACATGTTCGTTAATGCCATTAGTTACACTTCTGCACAATGTGCCAGCATTCTCATTATTCCCATACTGGGTTCTGTCTCCATTCATTCAGCTTCCTGGTCCCGTCCACTTTTCTCCTTCTCCAAAAGCCGTGCTCACTGCCACTGAGTCATTCCGACTCCCGGCGACCGTGTAGGACGGGAGAACGGCTCCTGTCGGCTTGGGACTGTAACTCTGTATGGGAGTCGAAAGCCCTGTCTCTCTCCTTAGTTTAGGGCCGGGGACGGCAAACTTTTGAGACAGAAGAGCCAATCCTCAAAACAATTTAAAAACTGTTCAAGAGCCATAAATGTATTTTTACAAACAAATGAAATCTCCATTATCTTAATATAGTTTTATTTTTGTTTTCAATTTTACTTCCAAGTATATGCCGAAAGAGCTGCAGATGGCTCCCAAGCTGCAGTCTGCCGACCCTGGGCCAGGGGAAATGGTGGCCGTAAGGTCTCATTTACATGAATGTTGTGAACACTGTCATGCTCATCGGCGATATGCATTGTTTGAGCCACTCTGTTTGGGCTCATCAGCAGCTTCGTGGTTTGAGCTCCAAGTCTCAAGTTATCCCAGGGCGATGGTCTCAGGGGTCCCTCTGGTCTCCACCAGTAAAGTACGTCTGGGCTCTGGTAGGAATT